GTACAGAGCCATGAATAAGCCCTGAATATAGTCAGGTGTGGGCCCCGGCCAAAAATAAATAAATAAATGAATAAAGTTAGTGATTACACAGAGTTTGCAGTTAGTAGTGACAAAGGATATATGTATGATCTCCATCCACCTCTGACCCTCTCCCACAAAGGTAAGGTAAATATTTGGTTTATATTTGGCTCATAACTTAGGATGGGAATTTACAGGAATGGAATGGCTTTTTTTTCCTTGCCTCAAACATATGCAAAAACCAACTCAAAATAAATGAGGGATTTAAATATAAGAATGAAAACTGACTCCTAGATCACTGGGGTAAATATTTGCAGTGATGTTCAGATGAAACACTAAATGAAAAGCAATTTTTAAAAAGTGGACAAGTTGAATTTTATCCAGATTTTAAAATTTTATGTGTTCAACGGTGCTATCAAAGGTAGCCCCAGAATGGGAGAAAATATTTGCAAATTTAAGGACCAAGAAATAGTATAGTAGGTAATGTAATTATCTTTCAGGCAAACACTGGTTCAATCTGGTTCAATCCCTGGTACACCATGTGGTCCCTGATTGCTCAGTACAGAACCAGGAATAAGCCCTGGGCACAATCAGGGATGGTGCATGCACACACACACACATACACACTGCAAATTAGCTGGTTTGGACTGATTTTTTTGGCCTCTTTTCCCCATTTTCGGGGAAAAAAACAATTACTCAGTGTTCTACAGTTGCCACTGGGGATGGTATCCTCCGCTTTGGAAAACATGTGATAAGAGATTAACAGCTAAGATACATGTAGAGCTCCTCTAGCTCACTAATAAAAGGACAAATCAAGGATTTTTTTTTTTACAGCCCTTTTTCTTTTTTTTTTTAAGAACTTTTTTTTAAGAACTATGTAAGCCATATAGCAAAATAATTATTGGAAAAGGCCATTTTCAACACTGTAAAATCTTAGCATGCTGAAGGTTGTGTGTTTGCGGCCTCTCTGGATGTCTCAATCTCACCACTTGCATTCGGTGCTCTTGAGCCACTGTGTGTGGTCTGGATCGGGACAGCTGTTGGCCAAGGGCACACGAAGGAAGAAATGAGAGCCAGGCTGGTCGGTATCAATTGTAGTTTATTCCAATCCTCTCCACTCCTGTCTCTTCTCTGCCTCCTTCTCTCCTGGGCCCCAATTTGGAACCCTTTTTCCTTCTAGCTCTGACTCTGAATCTCTGGAGCCGGAGCCCTCTCACTTCTGAATCTCCCCTCTGAGTTTACATTCTTAGTTTATATAGCAATCACATAGGGTAGTGACACAAAGGTGGGTTGAACGTTAACAAATCAACAAAGAAAGGTAAAACCAACCAACAAAGAAAGGTAAACTCCAGGAGATTAACTCAAGGATAAAATCTCATCTAAAGAGATTACTCCAGATTACTAGGAGATCTGCTCAAGGGTAGGATCCCAACGAGGGTGTGTTCTTTCCTCAGTTAGTAATATACTTCTAATATTTCTAGCAATGTCATTCTGTATGAGCACAGTAAGAGATATAAACTTACAGTTTGGTTCTTCCTGAGGACATCTCACTATATATTCCGCAGTCCTTCACATCAGGTTAGTCTTTCTAGCCCCAGCAGGGTCCTAGTCTTGTCGTTACTTACTTTTGGATCATGACAGCATTTGTCCATGATCATGCCCTCAACTTATAGTTGAGTATCGTGGCACTTTGGCCTGGCCCATTTCGATGCCAGGGTAGCTCATAGCTTGCCCTGGGTCCATTCAGTCCCTCGTTGGGACCCTGCTTTTGGGGTGCTAGGAACTAAAGGAAACAGAGTCAAGAAAAAAGATGCCCAGGAGTAAATATTATTTGGAGTCAATCAACTCCCAAGTTACAATGCATAATATTAACTGTCTTCCTGTGTCTATACAGAAAGGACATTGCTTTAAGGTAAACTATTCAAAAGACATAACTTACAATACAAGTTCAGTGTTGTTAGATGGGTCTGACCTTACAAATTAATAGAATCTGATTAGGGGAATAAACTGATTAACTGTTTGGGGAAGAGAGCATAGAGAAGTAGTTACAAATAAACAAAAGAGTGGCAGTGACTTGGGAGCACTGGGATGGGTGTGACCCGATAAACCTAAGCTACCTGAGACTATGCAGGAAGGACAAAACAGTGTTATCCTACACAACCAATCAGCAAATTTGCTAAGTTCCCCATCCTAATTTGGAGCGATAACACAGCGGGGTTGGGCATCTGCCTTGCATGCAGCCAACCTGGGTTCGATTTCTCCATCCCTCTCGGAGAGCCCAGCAAGCTACCAAGAGTATTCCACCTGCATGGCAGAGCCTGGCAAGCTCCCCGTGGTATATTCGATATGTCAAACACAGTAACAGTAAGTCTCACAATGGAGACAGTACTGGTGCCTGCTCAAGCAAATCAATGAACAACGGGAGGACAATGCCACAGTGGACAGCGCTAAAGAACTATAATTTACAAAGTTGATTTTTAGGCATATAATATTTCAACACTAATCCCACCACTCTACACAGCAGAGCCTGGCCAGCTACCCGTGACATATTTAATATGCCAAAAGCAGTAACAATGGTCTTCATTCCCCTGACCCTGAAAGAGCCTCTAATACATTGGCAGAGTTGGAAGGGACGAGAAAGGAGAGGGTGCTAAAATCTCAGGGCTGGGATGAATGGAGACATTACTGGCACTCCCTCAAGCAAGTCGATGACCAACTGGGCAACAGTGCTAATCCCACCACCAGTGTCAACTCTTCTCCACCAGTGTTCCCTTATTCCCTTCTCACCCCAATTGCTTCCCATCTCTGCGTGTCAATTTAATAGACACATTACAGAGTTTCAGTGGTTGCAGCTTAGATTTCATTTTTTCAGTGTTGTTGTCTGTGTTTTGGATATATGGCTATACCACTCACCCCTATTTCCCGTGTAACTGATGCCCATTCATCCATTGCTTCCAGTTCTTCTCCTCTTGATTTCTTTCCTTCTCTGTCCTTCTCCACTCTAAACACTTGGGACAAGGGTGATCTAGGCATTCCCCCTTTACTCCTGTACATGTTCTTTGCCCAGTTGAATTAAGTATTTTAACAGGCAGTTCTCCAAATAAAGTTATGCAAATGGTGAACAGGAACATGAAGTGTATGCACCATCAATAGCAAGGGAAGTAATATGGGAACATAATGTGATACTCATAGAGAACACTAGAATGTCCATGCTGATAATTAAAACTAAAATTCTTATATGAAATAACAAATGTACGTAAGGGTGTGGAGCATTTGGCACCTGTGCATATTGATAATGTGAGAATAAAATACTGCTGTAACAAACTGAAAATAGCTTGTCAGTTCCTCAAAAAAGTTGCTGTAGGCCTAGCAATTTGCCTCCTAAGTACCTAAAATAATATGTAACACTGTAGCACTGTCCTCCCGTTGTTCATCCTTTTGCTCAAGCAGGCACCAGTAAGGTCTCCGTTGTGAGACTTGTTACTGTTTTTGGCATGTAGAATTCACCACGGGGAGCTTGCCAGGCTCTGCCATTCGGGCTGGATACTCTCGGTAGCTTGCCAGGCTCTCCGAGAGGGACGGAGGAATCATACCCAGGTCGACCGTGTGTAGCTCAAATGCCCTACCCACTGTGCTTTCGCTCCACAGATATATATTACTCTATACAGACTATATCGGTATTCAAAAATAGCTGTATACAAATATTCACAGTAGCTCTATTCACAATAGCCAAAAGGTTATAAACAATCCACCTATATATCTCAGCTCATAAAAGGATAAACATAATATAGCCACAGAATGGAATGTTAGTAAGCAATAAAAAATGGAAGTACTGGGCCCAGAGGAAAAGCACAGAGGCTAAGAGCCCCTCTTTTGCAAATGCATGGTTATAAGTTTAAATCCCACACACACCATCCAGAAAAAAAATCATCATTGTCTTTGGAGACTATGAGTTGAACCTGAGGAAGGTGCGATTTTCATACCTCTTAAATGTAAAACTAAAATTTTTTCCTCTCATAGCCAAAGGCAACCTATGTAGAATAGAGTCCTTGATACTCAATGCAGCCTGCGTGGGCGCAGGAGGGTGACAGCACATGACAAGGCCCTTCTCTTCTTGGGAAATGGATGGTGTGGCATTATAGAGGGAAGCAAACAGACCTGAGCAGGCCCTCAGTCTTCTCAGCTGAGGACACGAGTTGGTGTTGAGATGGAATGGAACTGACACATCTAATCTCCAGGTTGCATGACTTGACCCTGAGCATAGCTTTTCACCCTCCTGGCACGACATTCTTTTCCTATCCTTCAGACTCAATGCAAACGCTTAAGGGCCAACAAGAAATGTGGACAGGAGCAGCGGGAACATTCCTTCTTTTTTCTTGAGCTGCTCGCTCACATGGAAGTAGTTACCCTCTTTAAACTGGCATGGTTGGGAACACTCAATCGCATGCAGGGTTATTGGGAAGAGGCTGGGAATCAAGTCATGCAGACCAATTTTCATTCTGCCAGAACGAGGGCTGATAATATGTAACCAAAGAATTACATGCAGCTGGATTATTAAAAGCATGTATGTGATCCATTTTTCTATTTCATGTTCATAAAAACGAACATGATGTGGTGTCCTTTAATGGCCCACATGATGCTACAGGCACTTAATTAAGACCAGTATTGCTACTAATGATTTGGGAAAGGAAATTTGCTGAATTTCATTTTCCCTAAATAATCCAAGAGGAAGTAAGACCATTTAAATTCATGAAGTTGCAATGTTTTAGGGGAAAGAAATGCAGTCAGAACATTTGTGTATCATAATCTAAGCACTTTTTTTGGTTAAGGAAACTAATCTACTTGGCTTTGTACTGGGAGAGGCTGGAAAGAAAACAGGCTCATTTTGGCCTGACCAATTTTGATGTCTCATGTCATTTAGGAAAAATGAATGATGTAAGTTTTTTTTTAATACATAACATTTTCTCTTTTCCTCCTTCCAGGATTAAGTTGTCATCATCCTGGGAAGAAAAAAACACACACACACACATTAATGACGTGGCCAATAATACAAAGGGAATCATGGATCAGTCTCCTTCCACTCCCTGTGGCGGATTTCACTTACAAGAAAATTGAAGCTGGCAAGACCCTGTTTTCTCTGCAATTTATTTAAAACCTTGCACGCATTTGGGTACCTTGTGATTTCCAAGAACTATGTGAAGATTAAGCTTTGCTTACTGATACATGGCATGTATTCTTTTCAGTCTTTTGTGTTTGATTTTATTTGATTTCCCTCTGCAGCGCAGCGTCTCTGTAAAGATTTTTATGCTTTCACCAGCCATGTCTTAAATACATTAAGACAACACATTTGGTGTTCACACTTCTTCAGTAATGTCTGTGCTTGAAAGCCACATAGTGGCATGAAACAATGTGCATTTTCTTTGAGAGCAGCACACATTTTACAACCACGAAGAAGGAAATTCTTGGTGAAAGCAAACTCATGTTCTGACTGACTTGACAGTTTGGTCCTTGACTAAGGAACCCCACTTGTGGCTTCTCTTTTGAGGATAGTGCACATGTGGGTGGTTTCTTTTCTTGGAAATAGAGCACATTTACGTACAATATCAGAATCTGCTTAGTGTCTTCAAGCCACAGAGCATGACTGTTCTTCAAGTAGTTTGGAAGTAAAGAAACAAATCTCAAGCATTAAGAACAATGGAGATGAATTGGCTACTTTTTTTTTATTTCCAGAGATTGAGGTAACTTTTTTTACAGGTTTACTTGATCTTATTGACATCTTATTTTTGCCATTTATTTCTGTTCCACATTGTTTTCTAAATGGAGAAAAGACTAGGGAACTGGATATTTTGAAACTTGGCTGCAAATTTAATTGTATCTACTGGATGAGCCCTGAAAGTCATCTTTATTGGTTAATATTTTAAAAGGCAAATTTCAGACTTGTCCAAAGTTTAAACATTCACTCATTCACAAGAAAGTGCCATAGGAAAAATAAAATTGTTTTTTAAACACTCCATGCCAGTTGGACATCTTGGTGTATTTTAACTCTTATAAAGTCAGAGAATTACTGTTCAAATGCAGATTTTAGAGGTAATGCAGAAGTTCTTGCTGTAGACACAGGAAAGGGAAAATTAAAGGCCAAGCTTCCCTTGTAGGAGTTGAGGATGCTCAGAGGATTGAATGCAAGTGTATGACAGGAAGGAAACATATACTGTGCATGTGCACAGCAATTTTCTATGGTCCAGAGGGAGTACTGTCTGCTATCTCCCAATGGGCAGAATCCCAAGTAATACCAAGGCAAAGGGAGTCATTAGGAAATTGCTCTAAAGTATAAAGCCTTGCTCCTCAGCATACAGATTTCTTTAGAAATTCCTTCATGCACATTGGCTTACATTTCCTATTGGAAAGGAGAGACGAACAGTGCAAAATATCATGCTTTTTTCAGATCAAGTGCAGGAATCATATACCACTTTTGACAAAGGCTCTCCAAGAGTCAGGTGTGGGACAAGATTTTCTTTAGTCAAACCCACTGTTTATGTTGGAAATTGGACCCAGAATTTCCAAACATGAAAATGGTACCTTTTTTGACATAAAGATATGTCAAGGTCATAATCCATCCCATTCAAAAGTAGCATTCATAGTACATTTTTAAGTGTTAAGCCAGAAATTGATTTGATTTCAGTTACTCATTGATTTTTAAAAAGAAAAAAGTCACCCAGAGTTAGAATGTTTACTTTCTGCTACCTAGAAATCTTTCCTATTTTTTTTTTTTACATTCCAACCCATTGGAAGTTACTGGAGGTGTTTTTTGTTTCACTTATGCTTAAATGAGAACTTCTTAAAGATGGAGAGGAAGCTATATGCAATTAAAAGTGACCATTCCTGCGATTTCTTCTGATTTCCTTATTTTGGAGAAAAGACATAACTTTTGTATTTTACAATGTTTAAACGAAAAGCAATTGATGGCTGAATCTTGCTTTTTGACACTATTTCTAAAAGCTTGAAAATTTGAAAATACTTATTGTTAAAGTACATACATTAGGAATGTTAAAGTCATTCAGAGATATAGGCCCTTGTCATTGGCTCTTGGGAAATGAAATCTAATTTCACTCAGCAAAGTAAAAATTGACTTTATTATTAGAGAGACAGACATGTCAGAGCATCATGTCTAGATGGTTCTCTGCTCCTCCCGCACCACTTCCAACCATAAAGGAAATCCAAAGTTTGGTTTTACTCTCTCTCCTATTCTCTCCCATCTGCTCTGGCATTCTTCCTCTTCTTTTCTGCCCTCCTCATAGCGAGGGCAGCCATGAAAATCATTCAACTCTTCATTCACAGATGTATTATTCTATTGAGAAAACATTGGAGTGTTGCGTGAGATTATTTTTATATGAAGGAGTAGCTTGAAATCCAATAGCTGGAATAGTATGAACACATTAGCATGGTGATTATATCAGTGCACCATCACTGCACACATAGTATTTGGAAGGGAAATTTAAGACTTCATTTCGATTTTCTTCAAGGAACAATTTGCTCAACTTAAATATATGAAATACATAGGACATGAAAAAATGTTTGCAGAGCTCAAAATTGTTTAAAAACACAAAGAGGAAGAAGCAGGCAGGCATGGCTGTCTATCCATTGATACACGTGTGAGAAGCTATTTCTACCTCCCAAGAGTGATGAGAAACATTTTCAAGGGAACCTCCAAGATTGTGGAGAATGCAAGACTTCGTGGTGTCCTTTCTTCAGTGTGTATAAGACAGCCAGCATAATCCTGTCTTAGGTTATGCATCTATATAAGATACTCATCTGTGAATATTGCTGGTTTTGTAATCTTTGTTATATAAGAGGACGTTTAGGCTGTATATACTGGGGTAGATTATTGCCTGCCCCCTATATAGAAGAATATGCTGCATAATTGCGCCTAACTTCCATCTCCCTTGCTGGCTTGTAGGCAGAGGAAAGCATATATGTTGCTGCCTTGCAATTTTCTCATACATCAGAAAACAGAACAAAACAAAAATCTCAAATAAGCAATCTCTATTCTCCTAACTCTTTCCACAGCAGCATATTTTAGAGGCACATACAAAATCGACATTCTCTAGTGGGGAGTGGATTTTTTTTAATGCTTCTTTTATTCTTTTTTTGTATGATACAGTATGATACAAGAAGATGTGTACTTTCTAACAGGGAAGGTTGGTACCTATAAAACATAATAGCATTTTTCAGAAAACTATTATACTTCCAAATGATGCATAGTAAGAAGAATGGAATAATTCATGTTGCATATTTGTTATCAATTGTAATTTGTCTGTATTATGAAAGATGTAATGGTTTGTCAACTGTCACTGTTGTTTTCTTGTAACATGATACGGAATAAAGTATAACAGAATCTCTGTACATTTTCTTGGTACTTCTTGGTGGGTGCCAAATAGCAGTATCCAAAAATTTTTCAGTATCCAAAAATATTCAAAAAATTTTCTTAAAAACTCTTAGGCAGGATCTGAGAGACCTGTCCTTACCAGTGGGTAAAGCACTTTCCTTGCACATGGCTGATGCCAGCACTACATTTAGGTCCTGAGCACTACCAGTAGTGATAATGAGTCAGGAGTGAGCCCTGAGCACTTCCAGCTGTGACCCAGCCAGCTTTCCTTTCCCCTCAAAATGAGGGGGAGAGGGGGAAATCCTCAAACGCAACCATTCTTAAAAATAATGCAAAATTGATCATTGTATAACTGAAACCCAAGCACAAAAATTTGTAAGTCTACAACTGTACCTCATGGTGTTTCACTAATAAAAATTTAAGAAAAAAAATACAAAATAATGTCAGAGCAACAATACAGTGGGTAAGGCACTTTTGCCTTGCACGGAGCCAAGCTGATTTGGATCCCCAACATCTCATATAGTCCCCAAAGCTCACAGGAGTGATCCCTGAGCATAGAGCCAGGAATAAGCCCCGAACACCACCAGGTGTGGCCCCAAAGTTTAAAAAAAATTAAATAAGACCCCAGCCCTGAAATAAAAAGGTAAAAGGTAAAGGCCCTCCCATTGATCGTCGATTTGCTCGAGCAGGCCCAGTAACGTCTCCATTGGAGACTTTGTTGTTACTGTGTCTGGCATATCAAATACTCTCGGTAGCTTGCCGGGCTCTCCTGAAATAATGAATGAATAATGCATGTGGCAAGAAGTGAATTAGCTGAAATGTTTCAGGAGTCAGTTAAACCCTCACTTTCTTTTATTTCTTATGCCAGATTGAAGTGAAGGAGTAAGAAAACTAGGTAGTACAAATTCATGAGCTTGAGGATCTACAATTAGTCCAGCTTTTACTGACATTTACCACATGCTCTGGTCATCTGGACTCAGTCTGGCTTTGTTTAATGGCAAGCCTATTTCTCTTTTCTTGTCTCTTGCTTGATATTTTTACACATTTCCTCAGATGAGGTGAGTGAGGAACTCTTCTCTGAATACAAAGAATTTTGTATTCAGAGAAGAGTTGGCATGCCAACATTCTGCCTGAAACATACTGTTCTGCAAGCTGAGAGAGCTTCTCAGAGCAGTGCCCAAAGAGGTCTGCACTGTAATCCTGGAACAGTGCAGGAGCCCTCACGTGGATGGATGGTGCCACCCAAGAGGCCAGTCTCATTTCTGTCATCTCTGTCCTCCGTGCTAGATTGGTCCACTTCATAACTCTAAGAAAAACGCTGTGCTTAGATGAGTTGCTACTAATATTCATGTCAGATACATTCATTCAGATTTTAGAGATGATATTTGAACAATTTAAATCATATGAATAATTTTTAAAATATTCACCATAAGGCCAGAGAGATAGCTTAATGCTAAAAGATTCATGGAGTGAATCTTTGCAAGTAGGAAGCGCAAGTTTGATCCTTAGGACCTTATGGTCCTCCACAAAACCACCAGGAGAGACGTCTAAGCACTCAAGCCAGGAGTGATCCCTCAGCACTGCTGAGCGTGGTTCAAGAAAATTATTTTTTTTAATTTAATTTTAAAAAGGAAAAGAAGTGCTCACTCTTGAAGGTCACGACCCATGTTTAAAGACCTGGTCAAGCTTGCTCTTCAAGCCTGTGTCTCCCTTGGACATTTATCTCACTTGCTTGTCTCCATTTCTTATTCCCACTCTCAAGAAGTACTCTCTTGAATGCATGCTTCTATTTCTCTCTCCCCTCATACCTTTCTAAACACATTTCAATAAAAGCCCTCTTGGTTCACACCAAAAAATTCTGGTCTCAGGGTTGAGAGATAATATAGTAAGTATGTACTTTGCATACTTCTGACCCAGATACAATCCCCAGCATCACGTGGTCCCCTCAGCATTTCTGGGAATGGCCCTCATAGCATCAGGATAATCCCCTGTACCAAAGGACCTGAGCAGCATGGCATGTTCAGACCCTCTCATTTAAGTGCCAGCCTGGTTGGTCTTTGGAACACTCCCTAGGAGTACATCCTCCCCTCAAAGTAAGAAGACCCAACCAGACCCCACCCATCAGCAGCAGTTACCTCATGCTTGTGTCCCCTTGTATCTATCTTCAAACTTCTGTCATGTAATAATTTTAAGTCCTTCACAAACTTATATTCTCACAAAGCCAAGCAAAAATATTGTCAGCTGATGTACATTCCAACCCTGAATGGCTCATGAGAGGCATCACAGTTTTAGCTCCTGCTGGCCCTGCTGTTTACCCTTAACTAGTCATCAGTCCATGCCAAAGGCATAGACCATTCTGCCAACACCAGGGGTTTCTGAGATGGGAGCTTACCTAAAGACCGGCTTCCTGGTAGCCACAGTAACTATCAACTAATGAACCATAATAATCTAAATGGAAGCAGATTCAAATTATAGAAGTATCAAAAGAACTTTCTTCTCAAGTTTTTTCAAGGTAGCATAGTGTATGCAAGTCCCCCATTCCCACAGTTGCACTAGCACGTGTTCCTTATTGTGATCATTCCCAGCAGCCCTAGTAGTGGGTTTGCATTTTTTTTTCTTTTTGGGTCACACCCGGCGTTACACAAGGCTTACTCCTGACTCATGCACTCAGGAATTACTCCTGGTGGTGCTCAGGGGACCATATGGATGCTGGGAACTGAACCCAGTTGGCTGCGTGCAAGGCAAATGCTCTACCCACTGTGCTATTGCTCTAGCCCCAGGTTTGCCTTTTCAAGTCGAACAGCATGCCAAGGTTTATTCAATCCCATGAACTTATTTTTTCTATGAATTATTATTTTTACCAATTTTTCTATCAATTTTCTATTCTTTCCACATTCTCTTGGTTGCTGAAAACACACTGGGCCAAGGTGCTTGTGTGAGAGGGTGGGAGTGTCCGGAGGTGCTCACACTCTTCAGTGGAATGCTCTCACATGTTGCTCATTCACTTGTGTTCTTGCACATTCTGGTTGTCATACTTGCCAGAGGCTGCACACCCTAACTGCAGTGTCCCCAAACCTGACTATGTGCCGGAAACCATATATGCTGCATTGCGATGGATCCTAGATGACATAGCTATCAGAACCGAATTCAGTACATGTAAGTAACACCAGGACCAAATCCCTGACTTTGTGCTTGCAAGGAGGCTCGTCTAGCCACTAAGCCAAACTTGGGCCCCCCTAATCCCATGTATTCTTAAAGAAAAAAGTAAAGAAATAAGGGAATCCAGGACTAGTGTTTATAAGAGATCAAAGAGCTTTGAGAAATAAGATTTCAACTTTTTGAATGTGATAGAAGTAACAATTAGTTCTCCAATTGCCCAATATTCCCTTTTCCACACAGGGGTGATTCCAGCTCTACTAGGTTGGAGCGTGTGATGTGCTTTCATTAAGGCAAGCATCAGAGGCAGGAAAGCAGCAATTCTGGAGTATCTGTGGTTCCCCAGAGCAAAGAGGAACCAGAGGGAAAGGTGTTGGAGCAACCCTGAGCCACTAGGTGAACACGTACAGTTGCTGAATAATGGTGAGCATTGTGAAATCTCTGCAACGAGAACCCCACAGTTGTCCGGCAGCCTGCTGCTACCTGTGGGTGGTGGCGTTATGGGCATTAGATTTGAGAAGCTTATATAGCACAGAGGGCTAGGATAAAGAACACAAGTCAGGGGAAAACTGACAAGATTAAAAAAAATCTCAGGCCACGTATTTACCGTTCATCCCCATGCTCTCAGTGTGCTATATTGTCTGTGCTGAGCCCCGCTGAGAGAGAGCCAGGCACAATAATAGCTCAGAGCAGCCCTGCAGGCCCAGGCCAGCCTCTGCCAACAGTGCTGAATGATCTGGTGGAGAATGGCATTCTGAAAGAGTTGTCTTTTTTCTCCTTCTTTGCTAGACGACCAATAATTAAGGAGGGCGCACTGCAAAGACAGGGTAAGGGTTCCCTGTTGGAGTGTATCCCAAGAGGTGGCCTGGCAAGGAATCCCAGTGAGGCAAGTGCTACAACAGCCCAAGGTGTGCTGGCCTGACAGAAGCAGACACTGCAGAAGATAACCGGGAACACATGTTTGAACCAGCAAGTGGTTCAAGGATTTAGTGAGGCTCCCAGGAAACTGAGCTTCATAAATCACCCCACAGTTGGAAATAGTGACACTTTATCCTCTTTCCAACTTCATCCAAGTTGTAGAATTGGATACCTTGCATCCTCAAAGAAAGGCTTCCATCCACTCAGATCCTTGGGGAAAAGCAAGAACAACCCCATGCCAAGCTTATTCCACCTGCCATTTGTGAAATTCAGATTTAAGTATCCTATCCACAGCCTGGTGACTCGCTTATAGCCCTGGCTCTGATTAAAATTTCTTCAGACCCTAATTCTTAAAATTAGGGGAACTTTCCTCCAATGCCATACCAATTCTATCCAAAAATAATGGGACTGGGACCCTCTCTTCAGTTGATTTTACCACATAGCCCACCTGAGAACATCTATAGTCTTCTCTTTCCTGGTCTGTCTACTGCACCAGGGACAAGAGTGAGCAAACTTTCCATAAGGTCAGATAGTAAGTATTTCCACTTTGCTGTCTCAGTCATAACTCCTCCTGCTGCCCTCTAGCCAGAAAGCCACCATGCACATTCATAAATGAATGAGTGTGGCTGTCCTCCAATAAAACAATTTGTGGGCACCGAAGTTTGAACTTAGTATAATTTTCACATGTCATGAAATATTTTTCTGTTGGTTTTTCAAAACTTGAAAGTAAAAACCACTCTCAGCTCACAGCCTCCACAAAAACATGCAGTGGGCAGCAATTTGCCTGAGGCTATAGTTTGCTTAGCTTGGCTGAGGATGCAAACCTAGGGGTAGGCCAGTACCAGCCCTGGCATCCCTGATATCTCTGAAGTTAGCTATCCCCAGAGAAAAAGGCAAAATGGAGACCCGTATATCATCTATCTAAATATTTATCTATTTATTT